CTCTTAAAGGTGAGAAGGGCCCGCATCCTGTCCAGGGATTGCTCCTCCTGCTCTCACCGTGCTCCTTTCTTCTCTTCCATCCTGCTGTCTCAGCCACACCCTTCCTTCTTCCCACAGCTGGAGAGGAAGGCCCTAAAGACTGAATATGTGAGGCCCCTCAGCCTGCCCTGTTCTGAGGTCCATGTGAAGGCAGGGGATGTCTGTTCAGTGGCAGGTTGGGGTAGGATGGCCCCAAATGGTAAATTATCAAAAGTACTACGAGAGGTAGAGCTGACAGTCCAGAAGGATAAGGAGTGTGAGTCCCGCTTTCAAGGCTATTACAACAAAACGATTGAGATCTGTGTGGGGGACCCAAAGATCAAGCGTGCTTCCTTTAAGGTAAGTTGGATTGTCCTTTCTTGGATCCATGGGAGGGGAAAAGGAATGTGGGACTTAGAGACCAAGCATCAGGGACTCCTTTGCCCTCTGGCTGTGATCTTTCTCCTTGGAAACAGCAGGAACCAGTAACTAACTAGGGCCTCAGAGCTGACAAGGAGCCTTGGTGAAGACAGTTGGTTTAAAGCAGGATTTGCACAGCCCTCCTGACTCCCAGACCCAGGCTTTAGAAAGCTGTGCTCCCTCTCTGTGTCGTTACCACAAGCAGGGGCTCCTCAGAGCAGCCACCCACTCTGTCAATGGTCTGGTCCTCCATTGTCACATGAGTCTCAACCACCTCTCCATAGTTCTAAACCACAGCTTGGAGCTGAGGTTCCCACACATCTTCACAGAAAATGGATCATAGACTTGGAGAAAGGGTAGAGTCTGGGCTCAGGAGGGAGGTGAGGCAGTAACCCTGTCCAAAATTGGAGTGGGAAGCACAGGGGCCCCAGGTCTGCCCTCTGATCTCCCTCACACAGAGCACACAAGTCATGCTTTATGGTGGGAGGCTGGGCTAGTGTGAAATCAGTTCAGTCCCCTGTGGCCTCTCTCTATTCACAGGGGGATTCTGGAGGGCCGCTCCTGTGTAACAAAGCGGTTGCAGGCATCGTCTCCTATGGGTTTAAAAATGGTTCATCTCCGAGAGTCTTCACCAGAGTGTCAAGTTTCCTCTCCTGGATAGAGGAAAACATGAAACAGAATTAACTACAGAGCAAACCAGACCCCTCCCTGACTCA